ACCATTGAGCAGAAACCGAACTGGACGAGCCATATAAAATACTGTGATACATGAGAGCTCAGAAACTTAAAATTCTGTGGTGAATAACTTGCCTCGTGTCTCCCCAAAGCTTGTCTACCACCTACTAGGTACAAGCTACGACTATGATGAATACTGTCCATTTACCTGGGGTGGATGCAGCTACAACAACACTCAAGAAACTCAATACCGTCAAGGGCGAAGCAACCTACTTGATTGGCATCCCATCCACCACCTTCAATGTTCACTCCCTTCACCACGGACACACAGTAGCACGTACCATCTGCAAGACACTCTTCAATAGATCATCAAACCTTCAACAAGCACCTTCCAGAGCCATGACCTCTCCCATCTAGAAGGGCAAGGGCAGCAGATACATGGGAACACCACCACCTGCAAGTCTGCCTCTAACTTACGCACCATCCAAACTTAGAGTCATTGAGCTGCTCAGCATGGAAACAGACCTTATCGTCCAACATGTTGACCAGATATCCTAAATTAGTCTAGTCCCGTTTACCAGCACCTGGCCCATACCACTCTAAACCCTTCCTCGTCATGGACCCGCCCAGATGCCTTTTAAATGTTCTAACTGTACCGACCTCCATCTCTTCCTCTGGCAACTCATTCCATACATGCACCACCCTCTGTGTGGAATAGTTGTCCCTTAGGTCCCTTTTAAATCTTTCCCCTCTCACCTTAAACCTATGCCCTCTAATTTTGAACTTGGAAATATATATCGCCGTTCCTTCAGTAACGCTGAGTCAAAAACCTTCTTAATAGCACCATGGGGGTCCCTACATCCGAGAAACCACAGTGGTTCAAGAAGTTAGCTCATCTATCCAGTAACACCAGCAGCCTATGAACAAATAAAATAAATTTTAAAAAGACGGGCCTTTACCCACAATCTGGTAGTTTCACTAAAACTACAGATGAGACTAGGAATTCCATCTCCAATTTGTTGATTGAATTGAAATATCTCCTGCTGTTGTGGTGGGATTTGAGCTCAGCCTCCAGAGCGTTAGTCTATATCTCTCGATTATTTGTCCAGTATTATCACTATGCTGCCGTCTGAATGGTTCAGCTATTGATCGGACTCTTTGGGAAGCTCAGCGACATTGAATGAGCAATGGAGCAGGCACACTGTAGATATTTCTAATCAACTGTTCAGACGTGATATTACATATCTCTGGAGCAGTTGGGACCTAACCCGAGCCTCCTGGCTCAGACATAGGGACCACTACCAATGTGCTGTGGGCACATTGTAAAGGTGTCTAATTATGCTGAAACTTGTTTTGTTAAAACTATTTGAAGAATGGATATCAAGAGGATCTTTTTAGGACGAAGACTGTCCAAGTTATGAAGTCAGCTGCCAAACGGACAATTAGAATAATTTTAAAAGTTGCATTTGAATGTCACCTGACCTCAGCCAAATTCCAAAACGGTTCATTTACAGTGAATGAGGACTTTTTCAAAGAATATAGTATCACGACAATACACAGAAGGTCCATCATATCTATGCCTAGTCATTTATTTTCCTAACCAATTTGTCCAACTCTCCTGCTCCTACCCCATAGTCCTGTTTGCTCCTCTCTCCATTCCCTCCCACCCCCGTTGGGACCGGCTTCTCTTTCAAGTCTGGCAGTTAGACACTCCATTGATCTGCTGTGCTCACATTCTGGTCACTTAACCTGAACTATCTCAGAAACATAGAAACGTAGAAGATAGAAGCAGGAAGAGGCCATTCAGCCCTTTGAGCCTGCTCCACCATTCTTCACGATCATCGCTGATCAGCCAACTCAACAGTCTAATCCTGCTTTCTCCCCATAACCGTTGATCCCATTCACCCCCAAGCGCTATATCTTGTCGCCTCTTGAATACATTCAATGTTCTGGCATCAACTACTTCCTGTGGCTCACCACTCTTTGGGTGAAGAAATGTCTCCTCATCTCCATCCTAAATAGTCTACCCGGAATCCACATACTGTGATCTCTGGTTCTGGACACACCCACCATCGGAAACATCCTCCCTGCATCTACCCTGTTCAGCCCTGTTAGAATTTTATAATGATTCCCCCCCCCGCCATTTGTCTGAACTCTAGCGAAAACAATCCCGACCTAGTCGATCGCTCCTTATACATTCAGACCTGCCATACCCGGAATCAGCCTGGCAAACATCTTTTCTCCACCAGCACTCTACACTCCCCAGCACCACAAGCCCCCACCCCCACAACTGTAGCATAAATGCTGCTCCTCCCACGCTTCACTTCAGCTCTGATGAAGAATCAGCTAGATGTGAAACGTTAGCTTGCTGTCTCTCCCTGGACGCTGCCTGACCCGTTGTGATCTCCAGCATTTGGTGTCCTCAGTACAGATTCCAGCATCTGCACTAATTTGCTTCTACATTGTGCTTGTTCACTTCCCTTTTCAAAGTTGCTGTTGAATTTGCTTCCACCATCCCTTCAGACAGCACATTCCAGATCACAACAACACACTCCTCAGAAGAAACTGCCTTCAATCTTTTTGCAATCAACTGAAATCGGTGTCCTCTCATTACTGGCCCCTTTTCCACTGGAAATAGATGGTCCTTATTTACTCTGTGTAAATCATTCATAATTTTGAACACCTCCATCAAATTTCCCTTAACTTTGCCAGCTCTAAAGAGAACAAACCATCTTCTCCAGTCCCTATATATTACTGAAGCTCTGCATGGCCCTTGTAACACTCCAGTAAATCTCTTTTGACCCTGTCTTACTGCTTAAGGTTCAAAGCCTCCAGCATTGGATACAAACTACAGCTGAAGCCTGTAGCTAGTATTTTATAGTGGTTAAGCATGTTGGCTTTGTATACAATGTATTGATTTATAAAGCTCAGGTCTGGTAGCTTTCAACTTGTCCTGCCACATTCAGAGATTTTGTACATGCACCTCGATGTCTCTTCATTCTTGCAATTGGACCATTTTGTTTTTATTCACTTTCCTCTTTCTTCCTACCAAATGTTATTACTGTATTCGTGCTCTGCATCAAATTTCATCTGTCATGCATCTGCCCATTTTTCTAGTCTGGCAATACCTCCCGACCACTTTGTGTAATTGAGGTCTTTTAGATGATAAAGGAGATTGACAAAGTAGACATAGAGAAAATGTTTCCTTTTGTGGGGAAATCTAGAATGAGAAGCGATGGTTTTAAGATAACAGATTTAAAACAGAGATAAGGAGAAATTACTTCTCTCAAAGGGTCATGAATCTCTGGAATCCACTATCCCAGCGTGTGTTGGATGTCAGGCCATCGAGTCAATTTATTTATTTATTTTTCCTTATTCATTCACGGGATGAGGGCATCGCTGGCTAGGCAGCATTTATCCCTAAATACCCAGAGTCAACCACGATGCTGTTGGTCCGGAGTCACATGTAGGCCAGACCAGATAAGGATGGCAGTTTCCTTCCCTAAAGGACATTAGTGGACCAGATGGGTTTTTCCCCAACAATCAGCAATAGATTTACGGTCATCATTAAACTCTTCATTCCAGATATTTATTGAATTCAAGTTCCACCATCTGCTGTGGTGGGATTCAAACTTGGGTTCCCAGAATATTAAATAATATATAATATTAATATATAATAATATATAATATAATATATAAATATACTAAATAAATCGTTAGCAACTCCTTTGTCTGTCCAACTGTCTTTCTCTCTCTTTGGGCTCTATCCTATCGTTTACTCCCAACCCCACCAACCTCCCTATTTTCTGCATATAAACTGATGTTTTCCAAAACCACCATCAGTTCTGAGGAAGGGTCACCGGATCTGAAACGTTAAATCTGTTTTTTACTTCACAGATGCTGCCAGACCTGCTGAGCTTTTCCAGCAACTTTGTTTTTGTCCCAGAATATTATCTGGGTCTCTGGATTACCAGTCCAGCAATAATACCACTAGGCCATCTCCTCCCCAAGGAGGAGATAGGTAGATTTTTAATTAGTAATAGGTTGAAAGGTTATGGAGATCGAGCAGGAAAGTGGGATTGAGGCTGAGATGTGATCAGCCGTGATTGTTTTGAATGGTAGCACAGGTTTGAGGGGCTGAATTGCCTACTGCTGCTCACAGCTCTCATGTTGTTATTTTTACACACATTTCCAAGATTTGCGTAATCTGCAAATTTTGAAACTTTCCCCTGTAATGCCAAGCCTAGGTCATTCATACACATGTGAGTATAATTTTGGTACAGTGATTTAGTTACTAGGTCAACAATTTTCCATCAGTCGGGTCCTCCAAACAGCGGTTCTAATAAATATAGCTTACTACCTGAAGGTAGTGAAAAAATTATGGAACATAGCAGGAAGATGCAAGCTCATTATCTCAAAAAAAATGGACTTTTTGGGCATAATGGCCTTTTTCTAATCCTAGGTACTCTTGAACGCTTGCCAATTGTTCCCATACGATTTAAGACAAGCAATAAAGAAAGTTTGTTGTTTTGACATATTGATTCAGACAAGACACAAGGTTGCCATCTGCACAAGGTACAAAGGCTAGTTGTTACTAAGACAGTGTATCAACAATCTTTCTAACCAATGGAATCTCAATCGCACAATGGAACAAGCTGTCAAAGGAAAATAGTCACAGACCCTTCACTTGAAATCTTCAAGACCATTTATAGGTTTTCATTATCAGGGCTACAGTTTCAGCAGGGTTTAGTGATTTAATGTGCCCTATCTAAATGTTAGTGGAATACAGATACCAGTTTACAATGCAGACACAACTGAAGCAGAGGAATAGAAGATAGAGCTGTGTGAGAATGTGTCCTTTTAGATTTGATCTCAACGCAGATTTCGATCTTCTCTTGAATGATAGAAATGTTTATAAGAATGAGAATGTCAGTGGTTTGCTGTGATATCTAATTGAGTGTAAGAAGCCATTATTTAGGGAGTTAATGATCGCAGAAAATTATGCAACGTAATTAATGAGGTGTTTACAATGGTATGTTTCAGAATGACGCAGGAGGACAAAGGGCGCTAGTAAACAAATGGAGCACATTTGTCAAAGCCAGGCTGATATGTTCTGTTCCGGGACCTGATGGTATAGACACGTACTTTGATGAGCTTGGTAAGTAGGGGATTATTTTGCTACAGTTGTGATTCTTAAGTCAAGGAACATAAGGAATGAGGGGATCTGTGAAAGATATGTCAGCACTGGGCAGCTCCAGCAAAGCCAAAGGCAAAACAAAACTTTCTTTAATCTTAACCAGGGAAATCCAAGGTATGTTCCTTTAGGGTACATTTACCATTTCACTCGGAGAAGAACACATTAACATTGGGCTAGTGCCAAGGCATGCTGTTACACCTCTGTATTTGTAAAGTGCACATTCGAACCCAATGCAGAGAACAGACATCAAATTCTAGCTGCTAAAAAAAAGTTTCCTTTGAAATAAGAATGGCTTGTTGTTGCTGATTCTGTAAGATTTCACTTCACTTGTGTTGCAGAGGATATGTTTCTACTGAGAACTAAAGATGAGAAGAATCCTGAAATTTATGCTCTATTTAGTACAATAAGGTAGGAAGCCCTTTTATTTGGACTTAAATAAGAGAAGTAACAGCGTATTGATGCTGAGATGCAGTGGGAGTTTATTCAGCTTCTGCTTAAGCACTGCCTTTCACAATCTCAGAATGTTTGGAGAAGACAGTATAGTACAGAGTTATATCCCTGGACTAAAACACAGAGCTCAGACTGAAGTTCTGAGTTCAACTGCACCATGGAGATCGGCAGAACACACAGCTAATAATTGTGACCATGGCAAAATTATTATTGATTGTCCAAAAAACCCATCTGGTTCACTGATGCCTTTTAAGGAAGGAAGCTGCCATCCTTACCTGGTCTGGCCTATGTTTGACTTCAGACCCACAGCAATGTGATTGACTCTTAACTGCCCTCTGAAATGGCCTGGCAAGCCACTCCATACATGGGAGATACATTTTGGCCCAGTCAGTGATGGTCACATCCTGGAATGAATTTTAAGAAAGGAGGTTTTACATGGAGTGGCACGGTGCCTCAACGGTTAGCACTACGCCTCACACTGCCAGGGACCTGGGTTCAATTCCAGCCTTGGGCGACTGTCTGTGTGGAGTTTGCACATTGTCCTCATGTCTGCGTGGGTTTCCTCCAGGTGCTCTGGTTTCCTCCCACAGTCCAAAGATGTGCAGGTTAGGTGGATTGGCCGTGCTAAATTGCCCCATAGTATTCAGGGATGTGCAGGCTGGGTAGGTTAGCCATGAGGAATGCAGGGTGACAGGGCAGGGTGTGGATATGATGCTGTTTGGAAGGTCACTGCAGACTCAATGGGTTGAATGACCTCCTTCCACTCTGTAGGGACACTGTGATTCTATGTCTGTCATAAAAATGGCATTTAGGATTTGACTTAAAACCTCATCTGAAAGGCAGTAACTTTCTCACTGTAATGCTTTGGAATGGCAGCTCACAATATGCTCTGGACCTAACTTTGGACCCTGGTCCTTAACTGCTACCCAACAGGCTGTGTTTAGCACATACGCGGGACACTGCATGCGCAGTGAGTCTTCTTGGGTTTTAACCTGACCAGTTAGGCTAAGGGTGATGGCAGATTAAAACTCCTGATTGTTTGAAGTTGGGATTCTGTGGCCAGGTTTCTGAGAGGCACAAAATAGAGAAGAAAAATTGAAGAAGCAGAGGGCCTGCTATCTCCTGTTATTGTATGTATAATGTGATGCTTTAAATCACTGCATTTCTCTTTTAAACTGATTAGTTGTGGGATTGAGTTACGTATCAGGGACACCTAGGAATAGAAACTGGTGACAAACCTATTCTTTGGAGCTAAAACAGGTGCAGGGTACATCAGTGGATCACATTTCCAGTAACAATCCAGATATAAGAACTGCATTAATAAGTGACATTTCCAATGTAAACCAGTTAACATAAGCAACAACACAATACTTCCACCACAGAGGGCACAGTATTCAACTGTTGTGTGCTGGATTATATAAATCTGCTCACTGCCCTTGACTGGGTAAACCCTGGTTGGGGACTCAAAAACAAAGCATACAGAGCCATGGAAAGAACTGAAAGGAAGGGTCGGAAGCAAGGTGCAGACGTTTCAAAGCACTGTGAACCAAATCTATTGCACACAAATAAACTAGTGTCACCTCTAAAATATACAATGAAAGGGTATTAGAGAAAGGCCATGACCCATTAACTGGGCATCCGCAAAAAACACCCACAGTCAATTCAGGAAGCAAATTACTGCAGATGCTGGAATCTGTACTGAAAACAAAAAATGCTGGAGATCACAGCGGGTCAGGCAGCTCTGATGAAGACTTGAAACGTTAGCTTGCTCTTTCTCCATCGATGCTCCCTGACCCACTGTGATCTCCAGCATTTGTTGTTTTCAGCACAGTCAATGCATTCATTGCACATGGGCATTACTGGCTAGGCCAGCATTTGTTACTTGTCCGTAAATGCCCTGGAGAAAGATGGTAGTGAGTTGATTTCTTGAACTGCTGCAGTCCTTAGGGGTGTAGCGTTGCCTGTATGCTTTTAAAAAGGCAGTTCCATGCTTTTGACGTAGTATCAATGAATGAACAGTGATGTGGCTCCAAATCAGGATGGTGTGTGACTTGGAGGGGAATTTGCAGGTGGTAACGTTCCTGTTTATCTGCTGCCCTTACTCTTCTGGGTGGTAGATGTTACAGGACTGCTTACTACTTAAATAGTCTTGGTGATTTGCACCAGTGCATCTTATAAACGGTACACACTGCTGTCCCTGTGCATCGATGATGGAGAGAGTGAATGCCGAAGGTGATTGATGGGGTACCATTCAAGTGGACTGCTTTGTCCCATTATGTATAATTCGGACTGAGTATCAGGTTTACAAATTTACTTTACAATTTCAAAAAATATATAAACTGCGAGAACAGAGGCCCAATGGTTTATGGATATCGGATTACTTTCGATTCAGCTGTAGTTTACTCTGCAGTTCCTTGCGGTTTTACAAAAATAAATAGCAGTGAAGGTAGTTTGACAGAGCGGCGGGAGTTTGCCTGTGTTAGCTGGATCTGATAGCAGGTAAACAGATGATAGGTCTGTGCAATTAACCTCAACGTCCCTGGACAAGGAAGAGGAAAACCAGCCAGAATCCAGCTCCAGTAACACCTGCTGTTGGATAGGAATGGGATCGGCCTGGACTGTGTGAGCCCACTGTTGAGGCTGACGTGATGAAGAATACATGTCTTATCTTAATGCAATTAGTAATAATTAGATGCAGAGTTGAATTAAATGGGATAATATTAAGTAGGTATAAGATTCTTTGTTTAAAATTTGCTTTTGGATTATGAGACTGACAAAGCAACTCTTATTCCCTTTCTCACATTGACTTTTTTTTATCCATTCATGGGATGAGGGTGTCATTGACAAGGCCGGTATTTGTTGCCCACTCCTAATTGCAGAGAAACAGTTGCAAGTCAACCACATTGCTGTGGGTCTGGAGTCACGTGTAGGCCAGACCAGGTAAGGACAGCAATTAACAACCAAAAGAACTGCGGATGCTGTAAATCAGGAACAAAAACAAAGTCGCTGGAAAAGCTCAGCAGGTCGGGCAGCATCTGTGGAGGAGAAAACAGAGTTAACGTTTCGGGTCCGGTGACTCCAAGGGCAGCAATTTCCTTCCCTAAAGGGCATTAGTGAATCAGATGGGTTTTTCCAACAATCGACAATTGGTTCATGCTCATCACTAGACTCTTAATTCCAGATTTTTATTGAATTCAAATTCCACCATCTGCCGTGGCAGGATTTGAATCCTGGTCCCCAGGATTAACAACCCAGTAGAAATACCACCAGGCTATCACCTCCCCAAAGCAAGCAGTGTCAAACACCTACTGGTGGGATTGAAGTCACACAGAGCTCAGACTAAGTTGAGATAACAGGTCCAACACTGAAGGACATTAGTGTCCCCATTGGGTTTTCTTACAACTGGCAACTTTCACAGACATTTTTCCCAATTCCAGGCTACAAATTGCTGCATTTAGATTTCAACTCTACAGGTTGTGCTGGTGGGGTTTGGATTTACAATCTCAGTCCAGTTTCATGTCCACTAGATGACCATGCATAAAATATTGAAAGTAGAAGATCATGGGAAGTAAGCCATTGGTGGTTTGAGTGTGGAACACAATATAAAGATTGGTTCTAATTTGAAATACTGACATAATGGTTGTAAAACAAGGGATCTTATTTTGATATTTGATTTTTTTTAATATTGTAAATATTATTTCAGCAATGTATTCCAAGGCTACGCTGTTTGTGTCTATCGTATGGCTGATCTACGAGAGGTGTTCAATGGGCCATATGCTCACAAGGAAGGACCTGACTATCAGTGGACTGCTTATGAGGGCAAAGTACCTTATCCCAGACCTGGATCTGTGAGTATTCTGCCATGGGGAATCATCATTAAATGCTTTTCTCTTGTCTCCAAACAGTCTGATTTATAAGAGTACTACAGAGAGAAACTAGGAAATGAATCTTTAGTTTCATTGTTTCACACTCAGCTTTTGTGTTTTATTTCATTAGTGAAACTATTTAATTTATTATTCAGAGATAACAAGGTGTAGAGCTGGATGAACACAGCAGGCCAAGCAGCATCAGAGGAGCAGGAAAGCTGACGTTCCGGGTCTGAACTCTTCTTCAGAAATGAAGGCCTTTCAGGCCTCCCCTAATTTATTAATCAGCTTTTTATCTCTGCACATGCCCTTTGGAGGTTGCTAACCTGCTCCTGCCATTCTTATACCAAGTGGGCAGACTTGTTTGTGCTAATGTTTTACTTTTTTAAAATTTATTCATTTGTGGGACGTAGGACTTGCTGTTAGCCAACATTTACTGCTATTTGCTCTTGAGAAGGTGGTGGTGAGCTGCCTTCTTGAACCGCTGCAGTCCACCTGCTGTGGGTTGACCTACAATGCCATTAGGGAAGGAATTCCAGGATTTTGACCCAGCGACAGTGGAGGAATGGCGATATATTTCCAAGTCAGGATGGTGAGTGGCTTGGAGGGGAACTTGAAGGTGCTGGTGTTCCCATGTATCTGCTGCCCTTGTCCTTCTAGATGGAAGTGGTCATGGGTTTGGAAGGTGCTGTCTGAGGATCTTTAGTGAAATTCTGCCGTGCACCTTGTAGATAGTACACACTGCTGCTACCGAACGTCAGTGGTGGAGGGAATGGATGCTTGTGGATGTAACGCCAAACAATCGGGCTGCTGGTGGTGTTAAGCTTCTTGAGTATTTTTGGGGCTACAGTCATTCAGGCAAGCTCAGTTGTCAATCTAATGCAGAAACAGGGTCAGATTCCACTGGAAGAAATAAAAGGGGTAAGAAAGGTACCACAACAATCAGGGATGTCATTAATCTACAGGTAAATTAAATAAATCAGGCTGACAAAGGTGGCCTGAGAAACTAAGTTTGTAAAGTAAATTTGGGATTGTTTAATAGAGCAGTACATTCTAGTGCCAAGCAAGGAGCAAGCTATTCCAGACCTGGTAAACTGCAAAGGGAGCAGAATTAATCAATAACCTCTTGGAAACAGCAATCATAACATGATAAAATCTCATGTTCAGTGTGAAGGTGAAAAGTGTGAGTTTTAAACCCAAACAATATTAATTACAAGGGTAAAGCAGAGGTAGTGCATTAGCATGATAAAGGAATAATTAATTAACAGAGAGCAGAGAGTAGGGGGCAAATGGCTCATCTTACAATTGGCAAACGGTAATTGTAAAGTGCCACAGGGATCAGTGCTGGGACCTCAATTATTTACAATCTGTAATCAATGCTGTAGACTCAGAAACCAAATGTATGGTCGCTTAACTTGCCAACGATCCCAAAATAAGTAAATAAGTTGTCAAAAAAGGATGAAAAGAGTCCAAAGGAAAATAATTAGGTGAGGTGAAAAATTGGCATTGATATTGAGAAATGTGAACTTGCCCATTCTGGGGATAAAGAATAGAAAAACAGTGCACTGTTTAAATCAAGAAAGACATTGCAGGACCCAGTCGTACAGAGGTCCTGGTATATGAATCACAAAATGTTAGTGTGTAGCAAGTGATCATGGACACAAAGTGATTGTTTGTCATTAATTTGCAAGGGAAATGGAATATAAGACTGAGGAAGTTTAATTGCAGCTTCACAGGATCTTGGTGAGACCACATCTGGAGCACTCTGTGCAGTTTTAGTCCTTTTATTTGAAAATAAATGATATCATTGCAATAGAACCAGTTGAGAGAAGATTCACTCAACCCATTCCTGGAATTAAGGCTTTATCTTCTAAAGAAAGATTGAGCACATTGGGCCTGTACCCCACTGGGGTTTACAAGGATGAAAGGTGACCAAATTGAATCATATAAGGTGGCACGGTGGCTCAGTGGTTAGCACTGCTGCCTCACAGTGCCAGGGACCTGGGTTTGATTCCACCCTCGGGCGACTGTCTGTGTGGAGTTTTTCACATTCTCCCCGTGTCGTGTCTGTGTGGGTTTCATCCCACAGTCCAAAGGTGTGCAGGTTAGGTGGATTGTCCATGCTAAATTGCCTGTAGTGTTTGGGGATGTGTAGGTTAGGTGGGTTATAGGGGGATGGGTCTGGGTGGGATGCTCCAAGGGTCAGTGTGAAGTTGTTGGGCCAAAGGGCCTGTTTCCACACTGTAGGGATTCTATGAAATCCTGAAGGGGATTTGACAGGGTCAGTGCTGAAATGATATTTATCCTTATGGGAGAGATGAGAACTAGGGGACTGAGTTTAGAACTAAGAGGCGAGAAACCAAAAGAACTGCAGATACCAGAAAGCAGAAACAAAAGTTCTGAGGAAGGGTCACTGGACCCGAAATGTTACATCTTATTTCTCTCCACAGTCCTGCTGAGTTTTTCCAGCAATTTCTGTTTTTGTTAAAAATGAGAGGTGTCCTTTTTAAAATAAATCTTACAACTCCTTCAGCATGGAAGGAGGCCATTCAGCCCATCGAGACCACATCAACCCCCCGAAGAGCATCGCACCCAGATCCAACCCCCTACTGTATCCCATAAACCCCCAATTGCCTTGGTTAATCCACCTATGCATCCCTGGACACTACAGACTATTCAGGATGGCTAACCCACCTAACCAGGACATCTTCGGTCTGTGGGAGGAACACCCAGAGGAAATCCACATGGGAAGAACATGTAAACTTCACACAGACTTCACCCGAGGCTGGAATCAAACCTGGGTCCCTGGTGCTGTGAGGCAGCAGTGCTAACCACTGAGCCACTGTGCCACCTGTGAGGAGTATTCTCTGTGAGGACATCACTTTTTTCTCTCTTAGAAAGTTGTTAGCCCCTTCCTCAGAAATAAGGTGGGGTGGGGGGGACCATTGGATTTATTTGAGGCAGAGTTAGACAAATTTTTGATTTCAGGTATTACTGGGGGCAGACCCATTGGTCGATTTGAGACCAGAATCTGATCATCCATTTTCTCACCAAATCTAAGGAAGGCATATTGGGCCAAAACAAAACAGAAAGAACTGCGGGTGCTGGAAATCAGAAACAAAAACAGAAATTACTGGAGAAACTCATCAGGCCTGGCAGCATCTGTGGAGAGAAATCAGAGTCAACGTTTCAGGTCCAGTGACCCTTCTTCAGAACCCAAATGCCTACTCCTGCTCCTCAGCACTGTGTTCCTATAATCCCAGCATTTGGCAGTGTTCATTTATCACCTGCCAGGAGGTGCACAGGAATGGCCCAATTGCCTCAACATAATTTGCCCCCATGTCCATGAGCAGCATCTCTTTAAGTCTTCCTTAAGTCACCGGACCCAAAATGATAACTCTGTTTTCTCCTTCACAGATGCTGCCAGAGCTGCTTAGCTTTTCCAGCAACTTTGTTTTTATTCCTGATTTACAACATCTGCAGTTCTTTCGGTTTTCCTCTTTAATTCTTTGCTGTTTACATATATTTCTGCGTCATCAAGAGACTGGTGACAGATAGACTGAAAGGTTGAGATTGAGTTCACAATATGTTTGAAATAAAAAAGTCATTGCAGTGCAACTCAAGGACGTTCTTTTGACTAATTATTTGTCATGCTATTCATGATGAACACACAGATATGATGATTGTAAATTGAATTGAATCATTTATTGCCATGTGCATTCAATGTAAAAATACCGTGAAAAGTGTGTACCTTCACCATACAAACATGGCGCCATTCACATTAACTTAGAATAAGACAAGAAGAAAAATGACAACTTAAGAGAGTCCAACTTTCCTTTCCACTGCCGCAGTCTCACTCAGGGCTTTCCAGCCCTCACCATGGCAGGGAGATTTTATTTTCAGTAAGAACTCAGTCTTTTTTTTTATGCCAAACTAAGTTTTCCATTATATATGTGACAGTTATTGGTCAGATTTAGCAATTAAAAATTTCAACTAATATTTTGTCATCCCTATATAGCCTTGTAAATAGCCTTCTGGCTGTAAATTGACAAACTTGGTGTTAACCTATGGTAATCGTGTTTTTATTAAAGGCAATGTGTTAAGTTTAAAAAGCCATAAATCTTGAAAGTGTGAGATAGTTGGAAAGGAAATACATTAGCTCCAAACTGGGAGTTGTTCATGTGCCATGTTGGATGGGTTTTTTACAGCCCATTGTGTTCTAATTCTGGCTAAGGTTCTTGATTTCCCCCAGCTGACTTAGTGGTCAAAAGTTTATCATAGAATCTCTCTAGCATGGAAACAAGCCATTCAGCCCATCAAGTTCACACCAACACTCTGAAGAGCATCTATCCCAGACCCACCCCATCCCTATAACCCTGCATTCCCCGTAGCTAATCCAACTATTTTACACATCCCTGGACAGTATGGGCTATTTAGCCTGGCCCATCCACCTAATCTGCACATCTTTGGACTGTGGGAGGAACCTGGAGCAGCAGGAGACAAGCCACACAGACATGGGGAGAATGTGCAAACTCCACACAGGCAGTCACTCAAGGCTGGAATTGAACCTGGGTTCCTGGTGCTGTGAGGCAGCAGTGCTAACCACTGTGCTACCACCATTTGTGTCTGTACTAACTAACTTTAAGCTAGTAGTTCTTAGCTTGTCAGAAGCTGCTCCAGCATGAAGTAATGTCTCGCATTTGGATTTGATGTAATTTTATTCTCTTGCACAAAGTGCAGGTGCCCACCTATTTATTTGTGACAATTACAATGTGACTTTGTATAAGACATTTGTCAGCAATAAAATTTCCTATAATTTAAGAAAATGATAGTAGCAGTGGAAGGGTGTTTTTCTGACTGGAGATCTGTGACCAGTGGTGTTCCGCAGGGATCAGTGCTGGGGCCCCTGTTGTTTGTAACATATATAAATGATTTGGAGGAGATTATGGGTAATCTGATTGGTAAATTTGCAGATGATAAAAAGATTGGGAGAGCTGCGGATTGTGAGGAGGATTGCCAGAGGATACAACAGGATGTAGATAGACTGGAGACTTGGGCAGAGAAATGGCAGATGGAATTTAGTCTGATCAAATGCCAGGTGATGAGCAAAAACAAGTTGCTGGAAAAGCTCAGCAGGTCTGGCAGCATCTGTGAAGGAAACGACAGAGTTAACGTTTCGGGTCCGGTGACCCTTCCTCAGAACTGCCAAGTGATGAATTTTAGGAGATCTAATGCAAGAAGGAAGTGTACACAAAGTGGCAGAACCTTTCGTAGCGTCAACATACAGAATAATCTAGGCACACAGATCCACATTTCCCTGAAAGTGGCAACAGAAAGTGGATAAGGTGGTCAGGGAGGTTTATGGCATTCTTGCCTTCATCGGTCAGGGCATAGAGTGTAACATTTGGCAAGTTATGTTGCAGCTGTATAGAAGTTTAGGGTTAGGCCACATTTGGAATATTGCATACAATTCTGCTCATCACACTACGAGAAGGATTTGGAGGTTTTGTAGAGGGTTCAAAAATGGTTTGACAGGATGTTGCCTAGTTTGAAGGGTAGTAACCATGAGGAGATAAACTTGGTTTGTTTTAACTTGAACTTGGAAGGATGAGGCGCGATCAGATAGAAATATACAAAATTATGAGAGGCACGGATAGAATGGATAGTCAAAGTCTTTTACACAGAGTGGAAATGTCAATTACTAGGGGACATAGGTTTAGTGTAAAAAAGGGTGCGTTTAAAGGAGATGGGAGAGGCAGGGTATTTACATAGAGGGTGGTAAGTGCCTGGAATGAGCTGCCAGAGGAGATGATGGATGCAGATACAATAGCAATGTTTAAGAGGAATATTGATAGATTTTTCAGTGTATTTGTTTTGTAAAAAATACAAGTGACAATAAATTACTATTCTGTTTTATGATGTGGAGGTGCTAGTGTTGGACTGGAATGGACAAGGTCAAAAGTTACATGACACCAGGTTATAGTCCAACAGGTTTAGTTGAAATCACAAGCTTTCGCAGCGCTGCCCCTTCGTCGGGCGAAGTGAAGGAAGCGCCCAGGCACAGACTTTACAAGCAGAGAAATCAAAAGATCATACAAATGGTGTGAGTGGAATGTCGACCGGCCAAATAGTAGGTGATCTGTGGAGCCAACGGGGGCCGGGTCCTGGAGCAAGGAATGGGACAAGCTGTGTCTGGATCCCCGGTCCTGGATCCTGGAGCAGGGAGTGGGGAATGGGACGAGCTGTGTCTGGA